CGCTGGGCTAGAATGTCTTGAATACCATAATTGTCCTGTTACGCTTGACTTTGATGATGTGCGTAAATGTGTTGGAATAGAGCCCATGACTTGGGACGCGAATGAGAAGATGAGGGGCGGCCAGATCTGCAGTCCAAACAAGCTAAGCGAACTTCATTGGAAGCAATGATAATTACAATTTAATCGAATTGTTGTGCATGCTCCCAATGTCGGGTAAGCGCTTCCGCCTTTAGCAACTAAGAGTTTTTCAAGAATACTTGAAAGTTTCCAAAGCCACTCATGCCAAATAGATGCTTAATTCATTTTAACATTTTCTGCAGCAGTACCGCTTGTGCGCACTGGCTGATTAACTGATAGATTACAAAATTGGACTGCCTATGACAAAAAAGTGATTTAATACAATATTCTGTCTTAAATTATCAAATTTCATCCATTCTCTTTCTGCTGGTCATTTAGAATATCATTTTATGCGGCTTATGTTCAAGCTGAAAGAAAAATTGAGCTTTTATTTTGATACAGTAACTCTTTGCGCTCTTCCACTTTGGCCACATTATTCACTTTCACTTTCACTTTCCAAAGTAAGCTCTAAATTACGATTAAAATTGTTATATACCCATTGTAAAAGTTTGCAACTTTGGCTCTTCAATCCACCAAGTATATACACAACAATTCGGCTCCTCTTTTAGGATTTGTGATTAATTCGCTTGGAAACCCTTTTAACGGTTGACTAAACTGGCGACGGAGGTAATCTGGAAAAGGACGCAAGCCAAACCGTAGCAACAGTTTCCAATTTGTTGTTGCATCTTATCTTACTCCATTCGGCTAGCAACTGGACTTGCTTGTTTATTTTTTGAGTTTGATCTTCTGCCTTCTTCATTGGCCCTAAGTTTCTGGGAGCTTGGCACAAAGTTATTCGACACTTTGAAATTCGGTGAATATTCGACGGCCCGATGCTGGAAGAAGAGGCAGAAAGAATTGTAGAGGACAGCGGACAGGATAGTGACCCAAACATGATGAGCAGAAAGCTGGTGAGTTTGACCTTTTCTACCAAAATGTCAACTTGTCCAGCTTGGCTGTCGACAAGTGTGACAGCCAAACGCACATACACAGCTTGGGCTCCAAACCAACAGTAAATGACTATTTTACATTTATTTCACTTTTTATTGTTCTCTCTCATCTGACGTGAAAACCAACCAGACCCTCCGAACTTTTCGGATCTGACGACGGGCGGACTGGACGGTTCCGAGGCGAATTCCACAGCTCCACTGCTGCTCGACCAATCAGCGAGGCCTCAATCCTCCGGCCAATGGAGTTTCGAGACAGAGGGACTCGAGCTCGCCAAGTCGGCACTGCCGGTCTCGAGCTCGCCGCCTCGCGTATGGACGCAAAAGCTGGAAAACCGGCCTCATGCCCAAGACCGCGACCTGAGCACCAGCCGAAGCGCAAAGCTCGAGTCCACAGACGAGACGGCAGACGATCCGGTCGTCTGCTCCGACGCGATCGGCGAGTCCGAGGATGCGGATGAGCAGAGCCGTTGCTGGGGCACATATTCTCGTCGCCCACTCGCCTCGATGCGACTGGCCACGGACTCGGAGTCGATCGGTACGTCGGACCCAAGCCCCAAGTTGATGGGCAAGTTCGGGCCCATTTCGACGGAAGACCGGTTGGTCGGTATCCCCGCTTTTGAGAGACGTGAGGAGGACGAGGAGGAGGAGGGGGGCAGGCGTCAAGCCGACGAAGTGGTACCTCCGGAGCGCTTGGCGCCGGGGCATGTGTGGATCAGTGCCGCGATCGTGGCCAATCTGGCGAGAGAACATGAGGAAACTGTTCAAGCGGCTCGTCAGAGTCTGGCTGATCGGAACCACACGCAAATTGATTCGGATCATGACAAAGATCGGCTGCGTGTCCAACAGGAACGGGCGAAACAGCAGAAATTGTGGTCGTTGACCAAATTGATGCGCACCCTCATGGGAGAACGACTGTTGCGAGATCAGCCTCCGCCGTTGGAGGAGGCGTTGTTGTGGCCGAGTCGAGGCTGGCGGAGCGAACCGGACGAGACCGGTTGGAGTCCGCCGACGGAGGCGGAGGACGAGGTGACGACGCTGCCTCGAGACAGAAGCCGACTCGGCGTGGCCTCGTCGTCTGTCCTTCAAGACGACTACTCGAACGAGGCGGGACTCGAAGACGAGCCGACCGATCGCGGCGCAAGCAGACACAAAGTGGCCAGACACGTCGTCCGCGAAGACAGACCAAGTGACCGTCGAGTCGTCCTCGACTGGCCGCGAGTGTCGGTGCCCGAAGAGGATGGTCGTTTTCAAGAACTGCTTCGCGGACACATTG